ACTCATATTCATCCTGGAGTCAATCCTGACTCCAAGATTCCTCTCTGCCTCTGTGCTGCTGAGAGGGTCAGCCTCTAACCTATAACCATAATGCTGGTTCCCTCTCCCCAGGTGCAGCACCCTGCACTTGTCCTTGTTGAACCACATCCTGTTCAGATCCACCCACTTCTCTAACCTATCCAGGTCTGCCTGGATACGGTCCCTGCCTGCCGGTGTATTCACTTTACCCCGCAGCTTGGTGTCATCAGTGAACTTGAACAGGGTGCACTCCACACCCTCATCCAGGTCACTAATAAAGATATTGAATAGTCCCATTCCTCCCCCCACTCCCCAACTAAGCTATCTTTAGCCCAGATCCCAACTCCCGGATAGACAACCCCTCATGAACCCTCCATCCCTCCCTGGTAAGAGAGGCACTGGGATCTTGGAGAGTTGGGGAACTGGGTGTCCAAGATGAGTGGTCATTCCTTAAGGAGACGATCCTCCGTGCCCAAGGGGTGACAGTCTCAATGAGAATCAAAGGGAGCAAGAGTGCTCAAAAGCCCCTCTGGCTTACCAAAGGCATTCAGAAACACCTGAAGGCCAAAAAAGGGGCATACACCCAGTGGAAGGGAGGGGCTATCACCAAAGAGGAGTATATCTCCATCACTCAGGCTTGTAGGGGGGCTGTTAGGAAAGCTAAGGCAGATAAGGCTAGGGCTAACATCAAGGATCAAGGCCAACAAAAAGTCCTCTTTTAAATACATAGGGAGTATGAAGAAAGCACTGGGTAATGTGGGGCCCCTGTGGGATATGCTAGGCAATCAGGTGCTTGCACCAGAGGAAAAGGCAGACCTTTTTAATGATTTCTTTGTTTCCATTTTTTTGTGCAGGGACCAGTACTCCCCCACTGAGATTCAGGATGGACTCAGCAGAGACTCTGACAGGCCTAGGGTCAGGGAGGACCAAGTTAGGGAACTTCTGGAGGGGCTGGATGTGTTCAGATCAGCAGGTCCAGATGCTCTCCACCCCAGGTTGCTAAGGGAATTGGCAGGGGTTATCAGGGGACCCCAGGCACAGCTTTACAAGCACTCGTGGTGCTCTGGCCAGGTGCCAAATGACTGGAAGAGGGCCAATGTGGTCCCCATTTTCAAAAAATGGAGGAGGGAGGACTCAGGCAACTATAGGCCCATTAGTTTTACTTTGATCCTGAGGAAGCTCTTTGAGAAGATAATCCAGAAGCACATCTGGGAAGGACCAGCAGGGGGGATGATGCTCAGGGGCAACAGCATGGTTTCATTAGGGGCAGGTCCTATCAGACCAACCTGATTGCCTTCTATGATCAGGTCACAAAATCACTGGACACAGGTGTCGCGGTAGGTGTAGTCTTTCTGGACTTCAGGAAGGCCTTTGACACTGCCTCCCACCCCATTCTTATTAAAAAGCTAGGCTACTGTGGCATTGATGCCTACACAGTCAGAAGGGTCACAAATTGGCTGAGGGACCACACCCAGAGAGTGGAGGTGGATGGGTCATATTCAACCTGGAGGGATGTAGGCAGTGGGGTCCCCCAGGGCTCGGTCCTTTGGCCCACACTGTTTAATCTCTTTATTAGTGACTTGGAAGAGGGGGTGAAAAGCACCCTGTTCAAATTCACTGATGACACCAAGATCTGGGGCGAGGTGGGCACGCTAGAAGGGAGGGACAGGATACAGCTGGACCTGGACAGGTTACAGGGGTGGATGAATGAGAATAGGATGGGATTCAATACTGACACGCGCAGGATACTGCACTTGGACAGAAAGAACCAGCAGCATACCTATAAACTGGGGAACTCCCTTTTCCTCAGCACAGAGGCAGAAAGGGATCTTGGAGTCATTATCAATTCAAAATGAGCATGGGCTGCCAATGTGAGGATGCAGTCAGTAAAGCCAACTGCACCTTATCAAGCAGGGCCAAGGAGGTGATCCTCCCCCTCCGTGCGACACTGGTCAGGCCACAGTTGGAGTACTGCATCCAGTTCTGGGTGCCGCACTTCAGGAAAGATGTGGCCAGCATCAAGAGGGTCCAGAGGAGGACCATTCGCATGATCTGGGGACAGCAGGGCAGAACCTATGAAAAGAGGCTACGGGACCTGAACCTGTTCAGCCTTCACAAGAGAAGGTTGAGAGGGGACTGGGTGGCCATCTACAAACTTACCACGGGAGACCAGCGGGGAATGGGAGAGACCCTGTTCACCCGTGCACCTCCTAAAGTAACAAGGAATAATGGCCATAAGTTGTCTGAGAGTAGGTTCAGGCTGGATATTAGAAGACACTATTTCACAGTCACGGCAGCTAGGATCTGGAACCAACTTCCAAGGGAAGAGTTGCTGGCTCCTACCTTGGGGGTCTTTAAGAGGAGGCTTGACAATTACCTAGCTAAGTTCATATGAGCCCAGTATTCTCTCCTGCCCAGGGCTGGGGGTCAGACTTGATCTACTTGATCTACTTGATTTACTTCTGACCCTACATCTATGAATCTATGAATCTATCCTCCCCCAAACCCTGACCAGGCTATCTTTAGACCACCAATCCCTCCCCAACACACACACACACACACACACACACACACACACACTAGAAATCGCTGTTACATTCAGGTTATCTGCCCAGCATCTCTATGCAGACACATCTTAGGGAAGAAAGGGGCAGACCTCCACCTGTTTCCTCACAGGCCACAAGAATGACACTGACTCGGGGGTAAATGATCTGAAGAGTAGTTTGGTGGCCAAGCAAATGTGCAAATTACTCATTCTAATTGGGGAGACTGAGGCAGGTTGGTCACCACTGAGACCCCATCTGAATGCAGGGAAACTGATGCAGGATGGTAGAGTCCTATGAATTGCAATCCCATGGTGGTGGTGATGAAGGAAGGGAACTGAAGCAACTGAAGAGCACTGCCAAACTTATGGTGCCCTAGAGAAGTGCAAAAGC